CGACGCGGCGCGCGCGCTACAACTCTGCCAGTTGAGCCAGTCTTCCGCCTCTAGCGAGCACGCGGCTTCGCAGGAACGCCTCAGCGCGCAAAGCGGCGCTGCAGCCGAACTTTCTCCCGAGTCTTTCTCGAGCGAACGCGACCACGCGGCCGAGGCGACGCACTCAGCGGCTGCAGAGAACGACGCGTCTTTGTCCGCGGTTTGCAGCGCAAGTGCTGCAAATCGCGCAGTCTGCTGCGACCAGCGCGACGCAGAAAGCGAGGCAGAAAGCGACGCAGAAAGCGACGCAAAAAGCGACGCAGAAAGCGACGCAGAAGGCGGCGCTGAAGCCGACGCACATAACACTGCAGAACGCGCCGCAGAAAACGTTGCAGAAAGCGACGCTCACCGCTGCGCTGGCGCTTTTTTGTGCGACACTGCGTCTGCCGCTGCGCGCGCGGAGCAGGCGCAGATTGCCAGTCTGGCTGCGGGGCAAACGGAGCGCGCTAAAAATAAGCCCGCAATTTTAAAACGAATTAAAGAGTTTGCTGCGCAGCAACCCCGCGAGAAGCCCCCGACCGCTTTTGGCGAGACTGCAACGTGCCCGACGCCTCTCGCTGATCCCGCGCTGAAGGACGTCAACATTCGAGACAAAGTCGACTCTTTCGAAAAAGTTTCGCTCCGAGCTGCTCCTTAGTCCGCCAACGCTTCCCACCTGTCGACTCGCATGTTTGCCAACGTCCGCCCGACGGACTTCTTGGACATGTACTCCGTGCAAAAGCTGAACCTGACGTGTTTGCCGGAAAACTACATTCGGTTCTACTACATATACATTCAGCAGTTTTACCCGAGGCTCACCGCGCTCGCGGCGCTGCCGAGCGGGAAGCCCGTGGGCTACGCGATGTTCAAAGTGTAAGTACGCGTTCTCGTTACGCAGCGAGGGTCCGAAAGACGTGCCGCCCGCCCCGCACCAGGGACACCTCGTGTCGCTTGGCGTGTGCTCGGCGGCGAAGCGCATGGCGGTCGCGCAGCTCTTGCTGCGCTGCTCAATGAACACGCTGCGCACGCGATACGGGCTGAACCGGATCACGCTATACGTGCGGAGCAACAACAAGGCGGCGGTGCAGCTGTACACGCAGAAGTTCGGCTTCGAAATCGAGCGCACGCACAAGCAGTACTACGAAGACAAGACAGACGCGCTAGTGATGGCGGCGCTGGTGGAGTGAGCGCGAGTGCGCGCTAGCTTGCCGTCGGCGTCTGGTTGAAGCGCTTCATGAGCTCGCGCCCTTTCTCCTGCGTCGCGAAGCACTGCGGTACGTCGGAAGAAACGTACCAAGTCGTCGAAGTACTTTTCGATGAACTCTTGCACCGTTAAGTTGCGGTACGGCGTCAGCCACTCGACCGCTGCTTTGATTTCGTCCTCCATCGAAAAGCAATAATTAAGTGATTTCGAGCAATAGCGTTTCAAAAAATACGCAGCGCAGCGCACGAGCCTCCATGTCTGCCGTGCTTTCGCCAAACGTCACGCACGCCCCTTCCTCGTTCTCATACAACGGCAGCAAAACGGCGCTCGCGACGCAGCTGGCGAACCCTGAACGTTCGGAGGCGCTCGTGCGCGTGTTTCACAACTTCCTCGACGAGTTCTGCGATGTCGCCGACGCGCGCTGCGAGGTACTGCGCGAGAACGAGCGGCTGTTGAACTGTTCCTGCGAGGGCGGTTTCTATCGGCGGCAGTTGGAGACGCTGTGCCGCGGCGCGACCGCGCTCGACTCCGCGGTCTTCCAGCTGTTCCGCCGCTCGCGCTGCGCGCTGCTCGGGCTCGAGCTCGCCGACCTGCAGCGGTTTCGCAACGGCGTGCTCTACGTCTGGCTCAAAAACTACGTTGGCGAGATCAAGCCACTGTTGGACAAGGCGCTCATGGAGTACGTTGCGGCGCGTCTCGAGCAATGGCGCGTCGCGCAGCTGCCCGAGCACGTGAACGTCTTCAAGATCGTGCTAGTCGGCGACTGCGAGTTCAAGCCGATCCGCAGCCTTGGGCCCGAAGACTTCGAGAAGCTAGTGACCACTAGCGGAATCTGCATCCGCGTCAGTAGCGTGCTGCCGGAGATGGTGGTCGCAGTCTTCAAGTGCCACAGCTCGTACCTCGTCAAGTACGACCGCAAGCAGTGCAATGCTGAAATCAGCGCGTTCGTCACCAACGGAACCGTCGAAGAACCGACGTTTTGCACGCGCTGCCAGTCGCACCGCTCGTTTTTGCTCAACCACGCCAAGTGCGTCTTCAGCAGCAAGCAGCTCGTCAAGATTCAGGAGAGCCACGAAACCATTCCAGAAGGCGAGTCGCCGCAAACGTTCCTCGCCTACCTGCGTGACGAACTGATCCACGCGCTCAAGGCAGGCGACACCGTGTCTCTCACAGGCATCTACCGCGCGCTGCCGAACCGCAAAAACTTCCGGCAGAGCACGCTGCGCGCGGTGTTCAAAGCGTGCATCGACGTGATTTCGTTCCGCAAAACCCCCATCGCAACGAGCGCCGGTGCGGAGAGCAGCGGCGCGCCGGCGCCGGTCGCCGGAAAGCAGCCTGCTGTCGCTGAGCACACGCCGCCGGCAGCGGAGAGCCAGCTCAGCGCAATGCAGATCTACCGACCAACGCAACAGGTTAGCACGCGCTCGGGCCGCGTGTACTCGCCGTCGTTCGTCGCGCGCGCGCGCGCGCTGAGCGAGCATCCGGACGTGTACGAACTGCTGACGAAAGCCTTTGCGCCGCGCATCTTCGAGTACTCAGACGTCAAGAAAGGCTTGCTTTGCCAGCTGTTCGGCTGCCGCCAGAACGTTGACGCGCAGTCGGGCTCTACGCTACGCAGCCGCGGTGAGCTGCACGTGCTGCTCTGCGGCGACCCGTCGACCGCCAAGAGCCAGCTGCTGCAGTATGTGCACCGCATCGCGCCGCGCGGCGTCTACGTCGTCGGACGCGGCACGACATGTGCGGGGCTCACTGCGAGCCTCACGCGCGACCCGGAAACCAACGACTTCGTGCTCGAGTCGGGTGCCGTCATTTTGAGCGACGGCGGCGTCTGCTGCATCGACGAGTTCGACAAAATGGACGACGGCTCGCGCGTGATTTTGCACGAAGTGATGGAACAGCAGCAGGTCAGCTTCGCAAAGGCGGGCATCGTCTGCACGCTCAACTGCGCCACCGCGATCTTGGCCTCCGCCAACCCGATCAAGAGCAAGTACGACGCGACGAAGACGATCGTCGACAACATCAACATGCCCGTCTCGCTGCTGTCGCGCTTTGACTTGATCTACCTCGTGCTCGACATTTGCAACCCTGACATGGACCGCAGGATCGCGTACCATATTTGCGACATGTACGCTGAAAACCGCAAGCGCTCTCCAGAGCAGAACATCGAAGTCAGCGACATCGACGAACAGTTCTTGAAACAGTATATCTCGCTCGCCAAAGACGTGTGCAACCCCGAGCTCGCGGAGAACTGCGAGCCGCTGCTGATCCAGACGTACCTGCAGCTGCGCGGGCACGGAGCCGGCGGCTCCGTGCTCGGCACGCCGCGGCAACTTGACTCGCTCATGCGCATCGCCTCGGCGCTCGCGCGCATGAAGCTGCAGCAGCGCGTCACCGAAGTCGAGATCGTCGAAGCCGAGCGGCTGCTCAAAGCCGCGACGTACGCCACGCTGACCGACCCGCTCACTGGCAAGATCGACTTCGAGCAGCTGCACTCCGGAATCAACGAGTCGGCTCGCGTGCGCGCTTTGCTGCTGCAAGAGATGCTCTTGAATGTGCTGAAAGGCTTGAGCGAGGGACTCACGCGCGAAGAGCTCGAAGAGCTGCTGAACGACGAGCTTGCCCGAACCGAGAAGCCGCAGCTGCACTCGCGCGAAATCAACAAAGTGATCGACGCATCTGAAAAAGTCGGACTGATCGGCAGAATTGGCATGTCTAACTATGTCTCACTCCAGTGAACTGCTGCGCTGCAGCGTCGGTCAGTGCGCGCGCCAGCGGCGCAAGCGCGTCGCGGACGCGCCTGTCCACCGCGGCGGCGTCGCACGCGACCAGCAGCACGAACGCGGACTTCGCACTCTGTCCGAGCTGCTCCAGCAGCCCGCAGAACTTCCGCAGCACGAAGTTTTCGTACGCGCTGTCCGCGCTTTCGCCTCCTGTGAAGAAGTACTCGTACGACTCAATCAACAACAAAAAGCGGCGCTGCGCCTGCAGCCGCGCCGCGAGCCCGTCCAGGTACAGCAGCGAGTCGCCCAGCAGCGGCCCGAAGAACTTTGCGGGTTCGAGCCACGCAACGGGCGCGCCGCAGCTCTGCGCAATGTAGTGCACGTCCGGCAACTCCAAGCCGTCTGCCAGCAACCCCGCGGGCTGCGAGCGCGGCTGAGCGAAATAGGCAGTCACCGCCGCTGCGGTGCGCGCCGCCGCGGAGCTCGGCCGGTAGCTTGGCGGCAATGTCGCGACCGTGAATCCCGGATGGTAGTCTAACGCGCTCTCCGGCGCTGCGGGGCGCACGCCCGCGGGCAGTTGGTGCGCGAAACTTTCCCAGTCGGCTACCAGCACTTCGGCTTCGACGAACCGGTTCGTTACTGTGGCCAGCTTTTCAAACGTTCCTCGCAGCGCAAGTCGCTTCGCAGTCAACAAGTAGACGCTGCTGAGCGAGCTGCAGAACAGTTTGTTGAGCAGTGCCACCGCTTCTTCTGCGGCTGCGCACGCGCGCGCTGTCGACGTGTGCGCCGCAGCTTCGGTGAGGTTGAGCCACTTGTCGCAAACCGCGAAGTCGGCTTCCGTCAGTACACACGGTCCACGCTCGGTGGTCTCCTCTGCCAATTCGAGCGAGTGCACGGCACCGACCTTGAGGTCGGCGTCGTACACCTCGAAGTCACTTACCACGCCAAGCAGCGCGTCCGCGAGCGGGTCCAGCACAAACAGCGCGCCGTCAGCGCGCTGCAGAACCGCCAGCAGTGCGTCCACCAGCGAGTCTTTCACCTGCGTCAGTTCGGCGCCGTCGCTCCCTTTGTGGAGTTCGCCAAAGTTGCAGTTTTCGCCGTTTATGACGGACACGACTCGAGGCGCCGTTAGCTGCAACACGCAGTCGAAAACAGCGGCGGGATCCGCGCAGCTGAACACTGCGCGCCCTGGCAAGCGGAATACGTCGGCAGCGGAAGCGGCAATTGATGGGCGCGGCGCTACGTAAGTCAGCTGCATCCACTGCTCGAGAATCGCGGCGTTGAGTTTAGCCGGAACTGCGCGCAAGCGCAGCAAACAAACCTGCACGTTCAGGCGCGACGCAGCGCAGCCGGTCTGCGCGTTTGCACGCGGCAGACCGTTTCCCGCGGCTTCGGCTGCGCCGCGTACTGCGTCGTTTTGCGCGTCGTTTCGCGCGTCGTTTTGCGCGTCGTTTTGCGCGTCGTTTTGCGCGTCGTTTTGCGCGTCGTTTGGCTCGGCAATTACATCGACGAAAACAGTTTCGTATCCGAACAGGTGCTTCACGACTAAAAAGTCGTCAGCGCACGCGGCGCTGAGTTCGAGCCGCAGCGCGTCAACCTCGTCGCAGCGCAATGCGAACACGCCCGGATCTGTCGAAACGGCCGAGGCCTCGACTACGCGAATCTTGTGCGCTGCGGCGGCGACCCCGACCTCGCCGGCAGCACAGCGCCGCTGCTGAAGTTCCGCGAGGCGCGTCCCGTACGCTCGGAGACTTTCGCAGCAACGCAACAATTTGGGCAGCAGAACGCGCTGTCCGCAGTCGCACGCGACGCGCAGCGGATCCAAGTAGACCACTACCTCCGGCATCGAGTGCGACGCAGCATGTACGCGAGAATTGGCATTTCGAAATAAAAATGGGTTCTAAACTCTTCGGTACTTTTGCCGCTTGTTCAGCTTCGCGAGCTTCACCTGCTTCTTCAGAGCAGCGACCTTGTTTTTCACGCTGCGCATCGACTTCTCGCGCACCGACAGTTTGTGTCGCAGCATCTGCATCGGTTTGTTGCGCTGTAGCGACCTGTTGGTCAGCCCCGCGCGGTTGTTCGGTTTGCCGCCGCTGCGCTTCGCTTTGTGCAGTCGACGCGACTCCGCGCGCTCGGCGCGCAGAGCGTGCAGCTGCACTTCCTTAGACCGCTTGCGCTCGCACCCCAGCATGCTTTCCTCAACGAACCCTTCACCGGACTCATCTTCGCTTGCGTCGCTCAGCGAAGCGAGCGAACCGACGCTGTCGCTTGCCGAGCCGCTGACTTCGCCACTCGGCTCGTCTTCTACCTTAACTAGCTGCGGCGCAGCATTGCTTTCATTAGAGCACGCGACGTCCGGCACGTCGCTGTCGCTCAAGTCGCTAGAGTTGCATTCGTCCAAGTCTAGCTCTGCGTCGAGCTCCTCGGAGCCCTCGACATCGCTAGTCGTTTCAGAGTCGGAGCTTCCACCGCTCGGTTGGCGTGGCGCTGCGGAACTGCGCGCATCAGCAGTGCGCTCGGAGGGACTGCTGCTGCTGCCCAGCAGCTCACGACTTAGCTCCGCCCAGTGTGCAGGGTCTTGGTCCAGCCACTGCTTCAGCGAGTAGCCCGCCTGCAGCGCGGCGTCATATTTCAGCTTGATGCGCTTCAGCAACTGCAGCTCTTTGTCACTGATTAAGTGCGACGCGATGAAATCTTGGCTGTTGAGCGCGTAACTCTTTTTCAGTTTCTGAAAGTAGCGCGTCTTCAGCTGGACCAGAATCTCAATGGCTTCGAGGTCCGAGCCTGCGCCAGCGCGCGTTGCGCAGTCGTTGAAAGCGACCGACGCCTTCGCGCTGCCGCGGAAACGCTTCGGCAGTGCCGAGGGCCGCGCCACCACGAATTGATTGCGCAGTGTGCGCCCGGCGTTCTGCAGAGCACTCTGCTTCGACTGCCTCGAGACGTCCAGCAAAAACTCGAGGTTCGACTCCGTCAGCGCGTAGCAGTTGCGGCTGCTGAGTAGGCGCAGCGCGTTGTATACCTTGAGCAACACGGCTTCGTCTTGGCTTTCGTGCACGAACTCGCTTATGATTTTCTCGACGACCACGTGCAGCGCGTCAAGCGGCGTCTCGGTCGTGACGGACTCCACGACAATCAGCAGCACCTGCGAGAGCACGTTGCTGCCCTTGTACAGGTAGGGCAGTACGCGAAGGTAGAAGTTTTCCAACCAGACGTTTTTGCGCGACATCAGACGCGCAATGACGGTTAGCGCCATGAGCCGCAGCTTGTACGGCAACTTCTTGTCCGAAGCGAGCTTCAACGCTTGCTCCGCAAACTGCTGCGGGTTGTACAGTGCGTCGAGCACTTTGTACTTCAACGCGTCGTGCGCGCGCGCCGCGCTTTCGCTCTTCTCGACAACTTTGATGACCGCCTGCTTCATGCGCTGCAAGCGGCGCATGCCTTTCGACTTCTTGCGGCGGGTCTCCAGCTCCTTCGCGATGTCGTTAACCATCTGCTGCTTTTCCGCGGAGTCTGCCGCGTCGCTCTCGAATAGTTTGTTCAGCTTGGCCTTCAGCGTGTCGACGTTTCCCAGCAAGAAGTGCGCGACCAGCTTCGCGATTTTGGGGTCACAGCAGAAAAACGCGTTCGCGATGCCGTTAATCGCAACAGGTTCGCTCCAGTCCGCTTTCAGGTACAGCTCGGTCAAAATGAACACGGCTTCGGCGGGCGACTCGGCCGGGTTGGCAGCCGCCGCGCTAACTAGGTAGCGCATCCAAAAGCGCTTGTCTTCGGCCTTGGAGCGCGCAAGGATCTGCACTACACTTTGCAGCACTAGTTTCTTCATGGCGAAGTCGTCGGCTTTGATCAACGCCAGCAGCTGCGGCACGTGCAGCTTGCTGTCGAAGCAGCGCTCGCGGTTCAGCAGAAGAATTGCAGACAAAAGCGTCTTCAACGTTATCGGCCGCGTAACCTTGCCGTACGTGGCGAGCAACTGCACGAGCTCTTGCGCTAGCCAGTGCTCTTCGCGGTATAGCGGCGCCACGTGTGCAGCAAACATCGTCAACTCGAGCAGGTGCTGCGCCGGCGCGGCCGGCAGCTGCTTCAGCTCGGCGATGGCGTTGCTCAGCTGTCGCTTGCGCAGCAAGTACTCGTCGAAGTACGTTGCAGGGTCGCGCTTGATGAAGTTCTGCAGTTGAGGCAGCGAAAAGCGAGTCGTCGCGTCGCCGCTGCACGCCATTCGCTATTTTCGCCTCAGTGTCTTATTATTTAGAATATTTTTTGCCGCAACTGAGATGGGGCTCGAGCAGAAAGACCGCGAGCTCGCGGCTGAAGGGCTCGCGTTTGTCAAGCAGTCCTACGACGACCTCGAGCAGAAAGCCGAGCTCAAGCAGTTGCGCGCAGAGAAGAAGCGCAGCGCGAAGCAGGCATCCGCGCGCTCCAGAGTCCGCTCTCTCGAGAGCTTCACCAAGCGCAACTTCGTGCGCAAGCTGTTCCACAAAAATTTGCTGCGCCAGCAGCGCAACCACCCAGCGCGGCCGCTGCGCAGCGCGCACGCACAGGACTTGCTGCTCGCCGTGCGCAGCGGAAACTCGCTTGCGCCCACCGTTGCTGTGCGCGTGGTGCTCGAGCGGCTGGGGCTCGGCCAAAGGTTCACGGCGCGACTGCTCAGCAACAGTAGCGAAAACGTCTCAGCACTCCAGAGTGTCAAAAAGTTCGTGTTCTTCGGAACGGTCTCCTACAACGCCGCAGCCGCGATTCTCTCGACTCACGCCGCAGCGGTCTCCGAGACGGGCGTCGTTGAGCCGCTCTGCAGCAACTCGGCGGTCGAGCGGCACTTCGAGGCGTTTGACGTCTACACCATCGAGGGGCTGCTCAATAAGTTTTGCGCAGACCCCGCCGCGGTTTCCGCGCTCAACGCGAAGCTGCAGCCTTTCCCCACGAAGTCGCTCGGCGCGCTTCGAGAGCTCTTCGCGAAGCCGCTCTCAGGGCACATTGAAAACATGGAAGAAGTGGCTCACAAAATTCTCTAGTTGCAAATCCGACAAATTACACAATAATCTAAATCGGGATTTGCGGTCGCAAAATTTACGCTATTTATAATTAGGACCTGCGATGAAGTCTATTCTGCCCCAGGAACAACTGCAGTTAATCAGCAAGGACGAGGATCTAAACACTGAACGCCTCACCTACGTAGTGAACTCGCAAAACCCTAAGAGCATTCTACCGCCGGATGAACTCGTTGACGCGCAGCCGCCGCAGACGCACGAGTTCACGGTACAGCCCGTCACGACTGTCAAGGAAAAAAGCAAGCCGGTACCAATTTACCAGGAGCGCGTGAAGTTCGTGAAAGTGAAGAAAGTCGTCGAGCGGCCGGTCGAAGTCGTGCGCGAAGTCGAGAAAGTGATCGTACAGGAGGAAGTCGTTTTGAAGCAGGTTGAATCTGGCGAAGTCGTCGAAATCCCAGTGCCCTACGACGTGGAGAAAAAGGTCTACGTCGCTGACTACCACGACACGCCCGTCGAGTACTGCGTTGCGCAGACCTACCAGCCGATTGTGCAGTCGCTCTCGCCCAACTTCGTTGACTGCAACATCTACGAACCTAAGCTCAAAATCGTCGATGTGTTTGTCCCAAAAATCACGAACGGGTGCATCGAGTTGGCAGGGACAGACGTGCGCTACAAGCCGGTGGAGTCGATCAGCAAGGTCCAGTGGAACAGCATTGTGCTGAAGTTGAACTCGCACCTTTGCGACTACGGCGACATCGACCACTTGCCCGTGCACAAGAACACGGACGGCACGGTGATCGCGTACAAAGCCGACGAGCCGATCGGCGCGCCGCTGGCGTCGCTCTCTTAATTTTTCGTAACCTTCAGTTCAGCAAAGCGCTCTAAAATGACGTTTTGCCGGCGCGTGCGCGGTGACGTTCGGCACTTTTGAGGTGCTCGGCACGTATATCATGCGCGCTTGGGTCACGCCGCGAAAGACTTGGCTGCAAACACGATTGTCTGAGTGCTTTTTGATAAATAACTGACTCGACGAAAAATGCGAAGATCGGTTTATAGCTTGTTGAGCGGCCTGACGTTGCTCTCCAAAGCGGCTAGCAACAGCGCGCCGCGCGTCATACTGTACAACGACTCCGTAAGTCTCGCTCGCCGCTACTGCAGTGGGCAGCCTACGCCCGCAAATACGGCATTTGGGACATTGATGACACAGTCCTGAGTCGCAAAATGCCGTACAAGGAATTGTTCCTGAACCACGCGTTCCTGTACATGAACGACGACAACTGCCAGCTGCATAGCACTGACACCAACGCCGACTTCGCGTGGCGTTACCACGGCTCTCTCCAAGATAACGGCAGTAACTTGGCGAACGGCCGTAAAAAGTACCCTTACGTGGGCACAGCGGGTTGGTTCGGCATCTTCCACTGGCTGCGTAGTCGCTACGGCGAAGACCAAATGAAGATCGTGCCTTCGATCGGCGGCTGGTCTTTGTCGCACGGCTTCCACGGTTGCGTCTCAAACAAGAGCAAAGCGGAGTCCTTCATCGGCAACATCGTGCACAACACGAAGTACTGGAAATGGGACGGCGTAGACTTTGACTGGGAGCACCCGGGTTGCGAAGGCGGCTGCGGTTGCCAGAACGAATACGTCTGTTTGCGCATGGGCAAAAACACGAGCAACGTGGCGGCGAAAGGCGACTGGGGCACTTACTTCAACTTCCTGAAGCAGCTGCGCAAAGAGTACAACCAACTCGCGAGCTCGATGGGTAAAAAGAAACTGTACATCAGTGCGGCCGTTGGCATGAACCCCGACCTCATCAGCGGCGGCACCGACAAGTACCCGGAAAAGATGCCGATCGAGCAAATGTGTGAAGGCAACGAGCTTGACTTCATCAACATGATGACGTACGACTACTTTGGCACGTGGACGCAGAAGACCGGTCCGCTGGCGCCGCTGTACGACAGTCCGCTCGACAAAGACGACGACACGTTCAACGTGCACTACGGCGTCAAGGAGATCATGAAGCGCTGCTCGCGCCCGGAGAAGCTGCACCTGGGTCTGGCGACCTACAGCAAGGCTTGGAGGAAAGTGCCGAATTCGGGCAAGGTGCCGGGCATGTGGCAGAACTCGAGCGAGACCGTTCCGGGAACGCAAAATCTTGCGGAAGGCTGGCGCGCGGTTTCCGAGTTGGACAAGGAAGACATCAAGCAGGACAGCAGGCTGGGCGCCGAGAAGACCGGGACGATGCCCTGGTACGAACTTGTGCTGTATTGGTTCACGAACAGTAACTGCAAGCGCACGTGGGCGCCAGACAGCGAGATTCCCACGCTGTACTGCAAGAAGAGCAGCAAGACTGCGTCGGACACGGACGTCTTCATCTCGTACGAAGACCCCGAGTCGTGGTACTACAAGACGGCGTACGCCAAGCAGGCCGGCATGGGCGGCGTGATCGTTTGGACGTCAGGCGACTTCGGCGGCACGCTGCGCATGCAGGAAGGCAACAAAGACATTGGCAAGCCGCTGTGGCGCGCACTGTTCCAAGGCTGGAACCAGAAGCTGAGCCTGAACATCGGCGACGCCGGCGTGACGGGCGATGCCCCCGAAAGTTTCCCGCCGCTCGCGAACATGAAGGACTCGGGTTGCGGCGACGCCGCGACCAACAATTGGTCGCAACCGCTATGCTCCTGCCCGCTGCACGGCGAAGAACGCGTGCCGCAGGGCGGCCACGGGGCCGAACAGCAGAAACCGAAGTGCACCGAAACCGGCAGTCCTGTCAGTTGCGCGAATTGCGGCAAAAGCTCTGGCGTGACGATCACCTCGGCGTCCGGTAGCAAGCGAACGCCGCCGAGCAACTGCAAGCGTCCCAGCGGGCTGAAGAACCCGAAGGACTGGTGGGACCCTCTCTCCTCGTACAGTCAAGGAGACATGGGCGTCTGCGGCGACAACAGCAACAACGACGACGACAACAATCACCATGATGAGCATCACGATGACGTGCATCACGATGACGAGCATCACGACGATGAGCATCACGACGATGAGCATCACGATGATGACGAGCATCACGGCGACGACAACGCGAACAAGTACGTGTACGCGTGCCCGGTGGGCTGCAGGTGGGAGTGCAGCGACATGTAGGCCGCGCATAAATGCATAGCGATTACATAATTCAGAGATCTTGGTGTCAACTACTCATCAAACGTCAGTAGTAGCAACGGTCTCATCACGAAAGCGTAGTCAGAGTGGTGGTGCATAGTACTGGCGTATCATCACGGTCAGTTCCGAAAGCACGTTCTCATCACGGGTTAAAAAAGCGATAAAATTAGACATAACGCCGCGAGCGAACGGAGAGCGATCGGCGAGAGTGGGCGCGCGGAAGCATGAGCGAGGAGCAGCTGCGCGAGGGCGCGGGTCGCGTGGCTGCGGGCGAGAGCTCGCCGCTGCGGGCGCCGTTCCGGCGCGCGCGACTGGAGCGCGCGTGGGTCGCGCCGCTTGCGGCAAAGCTCGCGTTGGCGCGCGCTGAGGGCACTGAGAGCGCGTACGTTGTGAACCTGGCGCCGATCGCGGAGGACGCGAGCAAGCTGGTTGAGGCCGCGGACGAGAAGCCGCGGCGCGACGAGAAGCGCGAGCTAGTGTCGCTGCGGCTGCTGCTGCAGGGTGAGGTCGGTGCAGAGCGCGACGAGGACCGGCTGGGAGCGCGCGTGCGGCAGGCGATCGCGGCAACGACGCGGCTGATGCAGCTGCAGTCGCCGAGCACGTTTGCGTTGAAGCCCGCGGAGAAACTGACGGTTGTGCCAGGCTACTTGGTGCTAGAGTTCGGGCGCGCTCTGGAGGAGCTGTCCGTGCTGCGCGGGTGCGCTGGCACGGCAATGGACTACGTGGTTTGTCAAGTGCTGTGCCTGGCAGCGCAGCTCAGCCTGCTGCGCGAGTTCCCCGACTGCTTCGATCTGCGCGCGCTGGAGGTGGACTGCGACCTGCAAGTGTCGCTACAGAACCTGTTCCCGACGCTTTCCGCGCTCCGAGGGTGCGGCAAGACGCAGAGCCTGGTTGGTTGCAATCTGTTCCGGCTGCGGCGCGCAGACGAGACTACGTTCTCGAGGCTCGCAGCGGCCGCCGCGAGCCCCGGCGGCGTGCTCGCGCAACTATTCCCTGCGGACGCGCCGCCGCTGCCGGAGCGCGCGAACACCGCGGACGTCGGAACGGACGCATGGGCAGAGGACGAGGCCGAACTGCACGTGGCAGGCAGCCCCGGTGGCTTGATCCTCGGCTCGCCCGCTGGCTCACCCGGCGGATCGCGCAGCGACTCGCCCAGCGACTCGCGCCATGGCTTCCCCGGCGGCCTCCCGAGTGGGCTCCCGAGTGGGCTCCCGAGTGGGCTCCCGAGTGGGCTCCCGAGTGGGCTCTTGAGCAGCACACCCGCCAATTCGCCCGCCAATTCGCCCGGCGGTTTGCCAGGCGACAGGCCAGGCGACAGGCCGAGCGGCAGGCCGAGCGGCAGTTTGCACGGCGAGCCGACGGGCTGCGACTACCGGCAGCCGCTGCTTGCGGCGCCGGCGCTTCGCTTCGACGCAGACGAGTCGGCTACAGTCCAGATGGCGGTGCTCGCCGTGCTAGACCTCGTGCGGAGCACTCCCGCGCGCAGTGCAGTGCGCGCGGTTGCGCACGAGCTGCACGGCGCGTCGTCGTTCCAGCAGCGCGTCGCCTTCGCGCAGCTGGCCGAGTTGAACGAGTCGCTGCTGCCGGAGTTCGAGTGCGCGCTTGGCTGTCGCGTCGGCCCCGCGCAGTCGGCCGCCGGGCTCTACGAAGCCGCCTTTGCGTCGATGCAGCACCTCGCGCGACCGGTGTACTGCTGTCTGTTGCTCTTCCGCCAGCTCGCCGCGCTGCTGTGCGACGCAGAACCGGTTCTCATGACCTATCTCAGTCTCTGCAAGCACCTTTCGCAGACCGCGTTCGCGCGCCGCGTCTTCGAGCACTACTTGCGCGCGTGCCACGAGCGCCGCCGGCAGAACACGGCGCTCGGCCGCGCCGGCGCACTGCTCGAGCTGCAAGCAGCCGACTTCGAGCTCGACTGGGACTGCGCGCCCAAGTTCCACGAGCTGTATCTGCAGCTGCTCCGCAGCGGCTTGCCGCTCGCCGAAGCTGACCAGCAGCTTGTGGCCTTCCTGCAGACAACGGTCGAGGCGGACGCACGCGAACGCGCAGCGGGCGCCGCGTCCGAGAGCCTGGCGAAGATAGCTAGTCTCGAGCTCGTGTTTCTGCAGGCAACTACGCTGCACAGCGATTTTGCCGGCGCGGAGTCATCCGTAGACGCGGCAGCCGGCGGCAAAGGTCTGCTCTACGCTGCGCTGCTGCAAAGCTTGCCGCGGCACGTGCTGCGCGAGACCGTCTTGCCCGTGCTCAGCGACTCGCGCGCGCAGGACGCCTCGATGTGCGTGACGTACTGCGCGCTGCACAGCGTCGCCGAAGACGTGCTGCCCCTGCCGCAGCTCGAGCTGGCGTTGCGCGGCTTCGCGAACGACAAGCACAAGTTTCTGCACTGCGTAGACACACTGTTCGCAGCGCTGCGCGTCCACTCTCCGGCGATCGTGAACGTTCTCGCGCAAACCGTCGCTGCGCACTTCGACGCGGACTGGGCGAACGCGCTCGCGCGCAGCGAGTCGAAACTGCTGCTGCTCTCGTGCTGCGGCGCCGAAGAGACGCGCAGCTTCTTCGCGAAGCTCACGGCCCTGCTGCACGCAAACGCGCCGCCGGTGACGCTCAACGCTGCGCTCGGCTTGTTAGACCTGCTGCTGGTGAAAATGCTGCGCGCGCGACTGCGCTTCGACGCGCACGCGCTGTTCTCGGCGCTGCGCACAATCCGGCACCCTGGCGTTCCGCGCTGCGCGAGTCTTGCGCTGGCGCTTCTGCAAAGCAAATCGCAGAACGCGACGCTGTTCGCGCAAACGCTCGCGCCGTACCTCAGCTCCTTCAGCGACTTGGAACGGAAGCTGCTGCTCGCGAACTGCCGCGCGCACTTCGCCGAACACTTCGAGACGCACTGTGCCGAAACGCTGCGCCGCGCCGGCGCCGAACAGCCCAGCGCGCAGTTCAGCAGTCTCGACTCGCGCGTTGCGCACGGAGGCAGCGCAGCATTCACCGCAGACGCAGCGAGCGACGCAACAACGGCGCTCGCCGCGTGCAACCTAAATCTCGATAGCGCCGAGCAACTGCCTGCGCCGCTCGCGAGCGCCAAGCCGGTGCTGCCGGCTGCGGCGGCGCGCCCCGTCGTGCTGTGGCACCTGCAGCTTTCGCTGCAGACGAACTGCAGAGCAGTTGCTTTCAGCTACAACCACCTGTTTTTCCAACTCGAGTTCCTCGACGGTTTGCACCTCGACCTGTACGGCCCGAACCGCATCGTCGTCATGCGTTTCGGATTTCAGCATCTCGGCGCCACGCCCGCGCTGGTTCTCGCGAACGAGCCAGACGCCTTGTACCTGCAAAGCACGCGCAAACTGTTCCAGTTGCACGTAGACACCACCGGTTTGAAGGAAAAACTGTTGTTCGCTTCGCTCGCGCCGGACTGCGAGGTGCTCGCCGTGCACTACTCGTCGGCTGCGCAGGCGCACTTCGTGGTCGCGCGCGACTGTCTGGTGTACAAAGTGGGGGCCGCGTTCAGCTGCGCGCTGCAGCTGCCGCCCCAGTTCGGCGCCGCGGCGAAGACGCTCTTCTACGAGGACGAGCAACGGCTGCTCGTGCTGACGGTCTACGGCTGCGTGCTGGCCGTTGACCTGCAGCAGTTTGCGGTGCGCGAAGCGTGGAAGCTCAGCGCGCCGGCGGACCCCACGCTCAGCGCAGTGCTGCTCACCGTCGCGAAGTACGTGCCCGAAGGCGGCGCCGACGCGGCAGGACTGTTCGTGCAGCTGCAAGTCTCGCGCGGCAATCAGACGCTCAGCACGCAGCTGCAGCTCTACCGGCTCGGAAGCATGGAGCGCGTATTTACGGTGATCACCAAAAACTCTGAAGCCGCTGTCGCGCCGGCGGACCTGCAGTGCGCGCTGCTCGCGAAGCCGCTCGCCGCGCAACTGCTGCCCGCAGAGCGCAAGACAACGGTGCAGCGCTACGGCGTGCTAAGCGCGTTCCGCGAGATCTATTTCTGCAACGAGACGTCGCTCTTCCGGCTGGAGTTCGCGCAGCACAACCTCGCGGCGCTCGCAACGCGTGAGCGAGCGCTGCAGGCGGGCGCGCCGCAGCTCGCGGACCGCGTGCAATTGCTCGGCTCGGCGTCGACAGAACTCCCGTGCGCGTGGCAGCGGGTGGCCGGCGAGCTGGTGCTCGCGCTGCCGCCGCAGCCGCCAGGCGCAGAGGTGCTGCGCTGCAGCCGCATTTTTTACCACAACAACATTTTGGTCACGCAGCGCGCGCGCAACCTGTGTTTCTACTACCCGCGCACCGAGTAACTACATTTTCCGGTAGGACTGGTCGTCAATCATCTGCGCCTTTGCGATCAACGCGTGCACCTCTTGCGCAGGCAGCAGACGGTGTACGGCGCGGCCGTCTTGCACGCACACGACGCCGATTTCGGCCTGCACGGCGTTCTTGTCCGGGTCGGTACTGACAGTCTTCAGAATGCGGCAGGCCAGGTCGAGCCCCTGCTCGAGCGTCAAGTCCGGCTTCCAGTAGTCGCCGAAAATCTTCTGCACGGTCTGGTTGTTCTGTCCAATCGCGATCACGTTCCAGCTGCTTTCGTTGCCGGCGGGGTCCGTCAAGTACAACTGCAGCTTGTTCGAGTCGTCGTAGCCCGCAAACAGAAACGACACGCCGAACGGGCGCAGCGAGTTGTACTGCGTGTAGTAGTGCTTCACGCGGCAAATTTGGCTTACGAGCAGCTCCGTCGGCATGCACGCGTTCATCGTGCGGAAGTAGTCCTGCGCCGACTCGCGCGCCATCTGCAGCAGCACGGAGCCGTCCGCCGACCAGCCGGCCATGCAGCAGAGCGTGCGCGCGTCGACCACGTAGATCTTGTCGCGGTACAGCGCCTCGTCCAGCAGCGGCGAGCTGTTGCTCTTCAGCGCAGCCAAAATCACGCCCTGCTGCGTCAGAAATCCGAAGGACACGGACGCGCTGTTGATCGCCTCCGCAGCGTACTCCAGCTGGTAAATGCGCCCTTCCTGCGAAAAGGCAGTTGTTCGCGTGTCGTACTGCGACATCGGCTTTCTTCAGAACTCAGAGCGCGACTTTCAAATATAAAAATACGAAATTGACCGCCGCGGCCGCGCAGCACTACCGCTGCGCCGCGAAACTCAGACAGCTGAAACTGCCGTCGAGGATGCGCGCCATCGTCTGCCATTTGCCGTTTAGCTTCTGGCAGATCGCGCCGTCCAGAAACTTGTCTGCCACCAAGTAAAAAATCTGGACCCGCTTGTGCGGGCTGCCGAGCCGGCAGACGCGGTCCTCCGCCTGGATTAGCACGCCGGGCACCCAGTACAACTCCGCAAAGACCAGTGTGTCGCAGACCTGCAAGTTCAGCCCGAGCCCGCAAGCGTTCAGCGACAGCAGCGCCACCGCGATCGGCTCGCCGACGAAGCGCTGCACGGCCGCGTCGCGCGCGGCGGGGCTCACCGAGCCGTTGGGGCGCACCGCGCTAAAATTTTTCGCGCGGAAAAACGCTTCCAGTTCGTCCAGCACGGTTACGTGGTGCGCGAAGACCACCGTCTTCGCGCGCGCGGCGAGCAGCTGCGCCAGGAACGGCTTCACTTGCGGCAGCTTGCCGAGGCCGACGTGCTTGAACAGCTCAGCGACGAGCTTCGCGGCGAGCACCGAGCTGCCCGCGTTCGAGTGCCGCTGCGCGAGCAGCTGCGCGTGGCGTGCCTCTGCGGGCTCGAGGTCCACGCTCACGAACGTGCGGCACTTCTCGGGCAAGTCGTCCGACACCAAGCTCTTCAGCCGCCGCAGCATGATGCTCGCGTGCAGCACCAAGTTCAGCTCGCTGCAGAGCCGACTCCCTTTGTACTCCGGCAGCTTCGTGAAGCGATTCGGAACCTGCTCCGAGTAGCGCACCGCGAACTCGTCAAACGAGCAGAAGTTCGGCAACAGCAGCTGAAGCTGCGAGTGCAACTCGACGGGCTTGTTCAGCGCAGGCGTTCCACTCAGCAAGATGACACGCTCTAGCTGTTGCAAGCGCGGCAGCAGCAGCGCGGTGCGCTTTGCCGTTTTTTCTTTGAGCATGTGGCTCTCGTCCACCACCGCAATGCCGAACTTCAGCCGCGCAAAATCCAGTTTCGTCGCGAGGTCGTAGCTGGTCACGACCGCCTTCGCGCGCCCGCTGATGCGGCTGCCGGATGTCTTGTGCTCGCACAGCTCCACTTCGAGATCATTGAACAGCTTGCTCGCCCAGGCGCGCAGCTGCGCGCACCACTGTTTACGCAACGAGCAGGGGCAAATCACTAGCAGCGGCCAGTCTTTGCGGTAGTGCGCGCAGCAAGCGATCGCCTGCAGCGTTTTGCCGAGCCCCATTTCGTCTGCGAGGAACATGCGTCCTCGGCGCGAAATGCAGAAGTCGACTGCGCGGCGTTGGAACGGCTTCAGCTGCTCGAGCAGCGCACCTGCGCCCTCGGACTTCGACGTCAAGTCCTCGCTGTAGTGCACCGCGTCGGGTTCGAACTGCGCGAGGCGCAGCACGAACGCCGGCACCGGCTCGACGAACCCAAAAGGCTGCAGGGCTGCGGCGACCGCCGCGGCGTGCTCGCAGCGAATGCCGTTCTTCAACGCAAACACCCCGTACACCGCGGAGAGCTTCCGGTACGCCTCGTACGGCAGCAGCGAGGTCAGCTCGGCGCCTCGCTTCGCAAACACGCGGAACTCGGTCAGCGAACTGAGCGTCAGCACGAACTGCGAGTCGCCTTGCGGCGTCGCGGCCGCAAATTCGTTGCACTTCTCGCCCCCCGGAAACAGCGACTCTTCCGCTTCAAGCGGCGCGGCTGAAACCTTAAGCACTCTGTGTCGCGCACGCGGCAACTCACTTCTGTTTGCAGAACTCAGAGTCCGAGAGATCGTCGAGCAGCGGTTCCGCAAACGCCAGCTTCGCGCCGCCTAGCGCAGCGCGATCTGCACCAGCGCTGCCTCCCGCAATTCGCTCTGGCGCGTTTCGGCCTCCCGCAATTCGCTCTGGCGCGTTTTGGCCTGCTACATTTCGGGCTGCCGCATTTGCGCCTGCCGCAATTGCGCCTGCCGGCGCCGCCAGTTCAGCGTCACGCAAAAAAGTCTGGAACTCTTTCAGGTTCCCTCCGGCGTTTTCNCCGCTCGGGCGCGTTTGGGCTGGCTACATTCCGGGCTGCCCCTTTTGCCCCTGCCGAAATTGCGCCTGCCGGCGCCGCCAGTTCAGCGTCACGCAAAAAAGTCTGGAACTCTTTCAGGTTCCCTCCGGCGTTTTCGAGGGAAAGAACCCAGTTACAGTAGTTGCGGTCTGGCTCGCTGCGCGGCGCACTCACCTTTGGCTCGAACCTCAGCAAAACTCGCGCCCTTGTGTTTGCCCACGAGCAGCTGCCCGAAGCTCGACATGCGGGCAACTGCAACCGCTGCGATCACGCAAATACCGCGTTACTTTTTGAAATCTTATTTAAATTCGCTTATGTTAGGGTTGCCGCTCAATAAGGCGGCGCCGCAGCCTAGCTACAGTCGCGTGCTGCGCTCCGCCGAGGCGCGTTCGCAACTCTACGCGGGGGTCGCCGAACTCAGCGAGATTGTCGCTAAAACCATGGGCCCCAAAGGCCGCAACGTTATCATTGAGCGCAGTTTCGCCGACCCGCAAATCACAAAAGACGGCGTGACCGTCGCAAACGCGGTCACGTTCAAGGATCCCGTTAAAAACATGGGCGCGAACTTAGTCAAGAGCGTCACGCGTAAATCGAACAATGTCTACGGCGATGGCACAACCACTGCGACCGTGCTCGCCTCCGCAGTGTTCGACGCGTGCCGCGAGCACACCGACAACGGCATCGATGCGATTGCGCTGTACAAGACGGTGCAGCGGCTCGCCGAGAACGTCATCAAGTGCGTCAAAGCCGCGGCGAAGCCAGCAACCGTCGATGAGCTCTACAACGTTGCGCTGATCAGCGCGAACTACGACGCCGACATCGCGAAGATCATCGCCGACGCGTACCGCAAGCTCGGCCCCGGCGCCAGCATCACTCTCAGCGAGAGCAAAAAGCCGCAACATTCGGTTGAGTACCTCGCAGGGCTCAAGCTCGACAATGGTTTCCACTCGCCGTACTTCGTCAACGACTTCGCCAACGGTTCCTGCAACTTCGACAACTCGCCCGCCGTGCTGCTCCTCGAAGGCAAATTGTCAAACCTCGCGCCGTTCGTGCCGCTGCTCGAGCAGATCGCAAAGCGCAACGGCGAGGTTGTGATTTTCGCAGATGACGTCGACGAGGAGGTGCTCAAGAGTCTCGTCGTCAACCAGCTGAAAGGCGTCTTGCGCGTCTGCGCAGTCAAGCACCCCGCCTACGGCGAGCAGCGCAAGCGGCTGCTGCAGGACCTCGCTGCGTACACTGGCGCGGCGATCGTCAACACGAGTCTGCTGGACGAGCAGCAACTTGTGCCTCCGCAGAGCTGCGGTCGCGCGCGGCGCGTGCGCGTGTTTAGCGGCGAGTGCCACCTGTTCAAAGATGACTTCCACCCCGAGGCGCTGCGCGTACACGAAGCCGTGCTCGAACAGATGCTGCTCCGCAAGAATCTTAGCGCGGGCGAACGCACGGACATCGAGGCGCGGCTCGCGACGCTGCGCGGCAAAGTCGGGCTGATCGAGGTTGGCGGGCACTCGGAAGTCGAGACCGAAGAAGCGCGGCAGCGCTTCGACGATGCGCTAGGCGCTGCAAAGGCTGCGCTGAAAAGCGGGCTGGTGCCCGGCGGCGGCATCGCACTCTACTACGCAGCGAAGGCCGCCTGCGCGCCCGCGCACGCCGACGACGCGCTCACGCAAATCGCGAAACGAGTATTGCTGCAGGCGTGCGCCGTGCCTGCGACGCAGATATGCAAGAACGCGGGGCTATCGGCAGATGAGCTGTTTGCGCAGCTGCGACAAAGCTCTTGCGACGCGTTCGGCTTCGACGCGCGCGCCAGCGAATTCTGCAACTTATCAAAGAAGGGTATCGTCGACCCTTGCGCAATCGTTGCAGACGCGCTGCGCAACGCGGTTTCCGTTGCGGCGCTGCTGGCAACTACCGAGGCAACGATTTGCGCCGCCACCGACGCGACTTAAGCTGCGATTTTAGATTTCCGAAAAATCTATTCGGCCGCTTCGCCGAGATGGTTTACGGGTAAGTCACGCAGACGCCGGCGCAGGCTATACATCTACGAGCTGAGTCAATCTCTAGCGAGCCTCGAGCACAGCGCGCCGTTCGAAATCGTTAGCAAGTTCGGCCGCGCGTGCCGGAAGGCGTGGGAGTTCCAGCTGCTGTACATCAACGATCTCAAGCTACGGCGGCTGTGCTTCCAGTCGCGCATTCTGCACACCACGAACTTCCAGCTCTACAACTCGCTGCTCGCGTTCCTCGACAGCGACGAAGCGTTCTCGCGAATCCCGCGCGTGCTTATCAAGGCGATCGCGGCCAACAAGCCGCGTACCGAACAAGAGGCGGTAGATCTCTACCAGTATTACGGAAACAAGCGGAAACGTGGACGTCCGCCGAAGTTCAGTCCGAACGTGTTCCCGCGCGCGTGCGTGGAGCCCAGCGACTCTGAAGAGAGCGAGTCGGATGCCGCGCCGCAGACGCGGCAGCCACGGCTCTACAAGCGCAAACGCCTGTATGAGGACAGCGCTAAGTTGCAGATCCGCATGCAGCCAAAGTTCGTGCCCTTCGAAGACCTGCCTAAAAACACGCCGGTCAGCGGCTACCCGCGCTTCTAAACGGAGATACTCGAGCCGCAACGCGCGACGTCAGAACCCTCGCAGGCGTCGACCACCTGCACGTCCCCGCTCGCGGGCTGCTTGCAAATCGGGCACTCAACGCGGCCAGTCGCCAGAGCCGCCGCTTCAAAGCAGGTTGCGTGCAGCGCGTGGCTGCACTGCAGCGTAAACGCCGGGTTCTGCGAGAAACGCATGTCCGTCAGACAAATTGCGCAAACGTCGTTGTAGCTATCCTCGCGGCAGAAGTGCGCCGTGCTCTTCGGCACGCACATGTTGCAGCTCGTGCAGTGCCGAAACTGTTCCGCGTCGCCGACTCTGCAAATCCCGCAGCCCGCACAGTGGTAAATGCGCTTGTTCTCGTCGTTGTCGTAGAGTCGACAGACGCTGCAGTAGTACTTCGCGAACCGCTCGCCGCACTGCTCGCAGCACTCCGCCGCACGTTGCGTGCACCCGCACAGCGCGCATTCCACGCTCTCGACAGCAAATCGGTTGAGCTCGTGGTTCTCGACTTCGTCGTGGCAGAAGCGGCAAAAGTAAACCTTTCCGCAACACGGCGCGACCAGCTTCGCGTTGCGCGAGTAGTGCTGGCAGCCGCTGGACTTCGAAAACAGCAGCGCGTCAAGCGTTATTTTCGCCAGCGACTGCGCGCGGCGGAAGCTGCTGCGGCGCGGCGTCTCTTCCGGAACGCGCCGGTCAATGCTTACGGGGCTCAAGCCGTTTCCGCCAACTGGCTCCATTTTGCCTATTAGAAAATATTGGCTGCGAAGCGTCTGCTCATTTTATGAATACGCACTGCGGCGCCCCGCTAAAAGTGCTTAATCTCTGGAAAGTCGCTTAGCTTGCTGCCTATCGCGCGACTAATTTCTGCGCTGCAGCAGCCAAGAAAGCTGCGGCTGTCCAGTTCGCGCTGCCCGCCCGCTATGTCTGTCACGAAGCCGCCTGCCTCTTCAAGAACCAGTATGCCCGCTGCGACGTCCCATTCGTGCGGACCAAGCTCGCAAAAAATATCGAGCTTCCCGCAGGCGACGTAGCACAGCTCCACGCTGCAACAGCCGAAACGCCGTAAGCCGCGCGTGTGGTACGCCAACGCTTTGCTGTTGGCCCAAACCACGTCCGACAACGCGCTGCGCAGCGCGGCCCGCTTCTCGTCGTCGCGGGGGTTGGGCTTGATGTGCCCTGCGCAAAACCCGGTGCACGAAAGACACTGCGTTAAACACTTGGACTCGTTGCAGCGGATCCGCTTGCCGTTGCAAAACGCGCCTTTGCCTTTTTCTGCGTAGAACATTTCGTTGATTGTCGGGACGTACACCACGCCGTACAAAATTTCTTTCTTGACGAGCACCGCTATGCTCACGCTATACAAACAAATGTCTGCAATGAAGTTGGTCGTGCCGTCAATCGGGTCGACCACCCAGGTCAACTCATCGGTCAGTTCCACGTGCTCACACTCCTCGCCGAAAAACTTCGAGTCGGGGAAACTCTTGCGCACCTCCTGCATGATGAACTTTTCCACTGCAACATCGCAGCTAGTCACCAGATCAGACACCGATGTTTTCTGCGAAAAAACGAGCGCATTCTTTCGTCGGTTCACTATCTCTTTTCCGGCTTTATAAGCCAGTTCCTTAACAAATTCTAGTGTGACTTCCATGTATGCAGATTTACTCGCAATATTTAATGGCACGTAACATCGCTAAAGTGCTCAAACATGTCATACTTGCATTCGTAGCTTTCATCTTCTTCTGCGTTCATGGTTGAGCACAGCCGCAGCTCGTCGATGTAGTCGCGCTTCTGCGTGCGCGCTGGCGACATTCGCGCCGCTGAAGCGCAGTGCGGGTCAAACTCCGACAAAACACCGCAGCTGTCCGCATCGTTCTCGGCCGCCAGCGCAGACGAGTGGCAATTTTCGAAGCGAAGCTGCGGCTGCTCGCGAGTACTCGAGCTGTACGGAACAGCAAAGGGACTATGACAAAAGCCTAAGCTGCTCGCGTAATTTGTTGTCGAGTTGAGCACCGAGAACGTCTCCGCTTCACTATTGCCAAACGTTTCCAGTAGGTCGTGCTCAGTGATGTAGGTCCCCTTGAATCGTGTGCGGCCCCAAATGCTGCTGGAGTTACGGAAGTCGCTTTCGATGTCCTGCCGCGACTTCAACCCAACTAAGTTGTTGTACTCAGCGTCGTTGTCAGTGTCTGGAAATCGGTGGTCGCTTGAGCAACACGACAATCTGTCCATCTCAGAAGGTTCCAGTTCTTTGACAACCCAGTGCGATCGCTTTGTTTCGCCTTTTCGGAGCGAAAACCATTTAGCAGTCTTGCTTCCTTGACTCAGACCTACTATACGCAAGAATCGCTGCAGTCCTGTTAAACAAATTGAAGAAGCTGCTGCAGCATTTCTGCATTTTCGTAACGCTTTCTGCGCATGGCCGTTTTTGCTCTGCTTTCTGCCTACATCATTGTGCAGTATCTGGTGGAGCTGTTCATGGTAAGAGTCGTAGTATGCTTTCTGCTTCCTTGAGCGACGCGTGCTGCTTCGCAAACTCAGCGTTTTCAGTCGAGTCTTAATTGCTCCGAATACGACACCAGATTTCGGTAAACACTGTTGCATCATCATATCAGCTCAATGAAAAGAATCTTTAGCTACAACAGGGCGTGCCCCTTGAAATGACAGCTAACTCAACTATCTTTCGGACTGCTAGCAGCGATGAAATTTTTCTTCCAGTGCGCACCGTTCGAAGCGCGCTACAAAATTCACATAGTATCACACACTCACAAATTGCGCGCGCGACGTCGAAACAGCTACATCTTACACAATCAAGCCTTCCGCACTGATATTTCATAATACTATTTGATGCTCATCTAAACAAAAACCGGTGTTGTCAACGATGAGGTTTCGCATGTCGTAGACTCACGCGATAACGGAATGTAGGCTTTATTTGTTAGACTTCTTGTTTTAGTTTTTCTTCTGGCCACGGAGACGTACTTCGCAATCAGGTCGTTGACGCATTTCACGCTGCGATTCAAGCAATACATTGACCGAGCATAGTACGATTGCTGCATCCTGCGCACGATCTCTTCAAAGCTGTAAAACTTGTAAATACCCCAGTCTGTGTACACCAAGCTACCATACTGCATTTCTACGTTGTGTGTTCGCGGAACGGCATACAGAATATTTAGACCGATTGCGATTTTGAAGTGAGCAACACCAGAGTCTGTTATCATATCTGACCTATTTATAGGAATTATCAAAGGGATCATGTTCTCGCCGCAGCGCGCTATGCGACCCAGCTCCTGCATCACCTCACGGGTAAAAAATTCGTAACTGCGGTATTCGTTGACGCCGTCGCTTTTTCCGTGAACCTTACGCCACAGTTTTCGGATGTAACTCTGAATAACGAGCCGTTTCTTGCAACTTTTCGGATTCTGCAGTAGTCTTTTCTGTACCTTGCGATACACCTCCCGGACCTCATTAACGCTCAGTATCGAGCGCGCAACATCATGCACGATGTTGTCATCCAGGTAGCGAATTCTCGCCCTTCTAATAACGCTGCAGGTGCCGTGCGTTACCAAAAATACAGCAAGCCTAGACAGGTTGCTAGTATGCGGAGCTGGGTTCACTCTGCATATGAAGACATGGTTATCTGAAGCATTCATCAGCGTCCTGTCAATTTCATGTTGCAAATATTCACGAGTTATTGGATGGTTTTCCATACCGATCTGCAGAAAATTACTGTCCTAGCTCAGAAAACACATGGTGAGGCATTTTCAGCCGCGTTAACTAATACGTTTTTTGAGTTCGTCGACTAAATCCAGCTGATCCTGCATTTTCAAATCAATATTGTTCACCTTTAACTTATTGGTAAAGCGTCTAGTCATTGACCGCATGTATAACCGCTTATTCTGAGGATCGTCCTTCGGCACCGACTTTACTTCTTCTTCTAGAAGCTGAGTGATTTTCTCGACGGGCAAGGCGTCTTCTTTACCCTTCCCACCAGCGTCTTGATCGCCCTTTGAAATTTTCTTTGCAATCAGGCTGGCCAAAGCTGTCAGCGAGTTTTCATCGATTTTTCTGTCAGCGTTTGCGCTTCTCGCGATACTTTGTGCAGCATGTTCGCTCTTCAGCGGCTGAGAATTCAGAGACTTAGCGCGCTTGTTGCCATTGTAGAAATAAACTTGGTTTGGGAAGCTGTCCGGCGCTGTGGGATCGTAAGAAATGTATAGCTGCAGTGCTTCGTCCCAGTCATAATACAAGCCGGTCTCTAAACTCTGCAGATATTTGTGAAATGTCATGTAACATAAGCATGTACGAGATGGAGATTGGTTCAGAACATAATGAATATTTTTAGTTCCCAGATAATAATGCGTTAGGCTTAATGTCACTTATCGAGCCGCATGACATAATTGGTTGCACGACTAACTTTCTGCCTGCGCGTTGCCGAAAGCTTGGAAATGACACTTTCCTCACCGTCAGCATAGGCAGACAATTCGTAGTTTATGAAACCCAGCAGCTGCGGATTAAGTACAAAACGCCTGTTCTGCCTGAAGTCGTTTTAGATTTTACCGTTGGCCATGACAAAGGCGCCAACATCATCTATAGTTTGTACTCGCACGGACGCATTGAGGCAAGAAACAAGCAGGATCTAGTTGGATCTATAACTCTTGACGATCCAAATGTCATCTTTCTTGCAGCCACAAAAAACTACATAGTTGCGATTTCACCAACTTCTGTGACATGCGTCTCTCTCGCACTCGACGCAGTTCTCGTCGTGATCAGCGACTACAATGTCATTGGTTCTATCACTCGGAGCGTCAAGTATCGAGCATTCTGTTTCCAGTCAGATTCGAAGGAAACTTTGTTGCTAGCAGACGATTCCACAGTGATACGTAAAGTGTCTCTACGTGATGGAAAACTTTTGAGAAAATACGCTTGTGTTTCGCACTTCATCAAAGACTTGCGCATTAAAGCGACAAAAGCGCAGACTAACGAGATCGACTACTATATTACAGCTACGCACTTTGCACAGGTTGAGCAGGCCGTGCTTTTCGTGGCGATTGCGTCTAACGCAGCGCCAGATTACAACTTGTATCTCTTAGTTTGTGACCTTGACTCCGACAGTGTGCTAGCATTTCTGCAGCTAGACCGTGACTTTTACGCCGTGCATTCGATAGTATATAAAGAGCCAACTCCTAACATTGCGAGCAACTTTGCGCGATACTCTTCGGTTGCGCAAGCTTGCGTTGTGCTCGGTTGTGCTTCGGGCGACTTGGTTGTGGTAAATCTGGAATCTCTGTCTATCGCTGCAACCGTGAACCACTTGCATGCTTTTTCAAAGAACAAATGGCAGCTTGGTCTCAGCGCCATTGCCTCGTGCCATATATTGCTAGATGATCCGAACTACGGCATGCATTTGTTGACTAACGGCTGTGACAACGCAATAAAGGTTGTCGCACTTCCGTATGACTCTTCTGATCCGTACGTGCTCCGCAGTCGCGTAGGCTTCTGTGGCAAACTACGACAGTTGTACTTCTGCCAATCAGACTTGCAACTTTACAATAAGGTTTTCACGCTGTCGAATTTATCTGATCTCGAAGCCTGTTCTTCCAGCCAGTTGAGCCTGTTATCAATGCGAAGCGCCGCGCAAAACGTCGTACTTTCGACGCAGAAAGGCATAGCTCAGTACAACAAATTACATTCTGCGATTCAACAACTCCCTGCCATCATCTGCTTTTCCGCTAATTCTAACAGAATTTTTGACTGGCCCTCCATTGCGACGTGCCACAGAGATTGTCACGAGGTCCATCTTTGGAGCTTTTCCAATCTGTGCTACACAGGACTCACTCTTGAGTTCCCTGCTCGCAAAAAGAGCCCAGCACAGTCTGCTGGATTGTATTACTACATTCAGTTGATCGATTCGCTAAAACCGCATTTGCGAGTTCCGCCAAGGACTAATGCAGTGACGGTTCAAATCAGCGCCTGCGGAAACTACTGTGCCGTCGCATATGAGTCTGGGAAAATTGTATTGTACAATTTGCAAAGCCGAAGCTTTGTTAGCTCTTTGCTCAACTGTTCAACTGAGGATCTAGACGTCATCAACCAGAAAATTAACTTTCTGCATGAGAACATCAGCAATCTTTTGCACGAAACCAACCCGAAGAGCGCTTTCATCAAGAAGAAGTATTTTGAAAAAGAATTCGATAAACTGAGCAAAGACATTCTCGACCTTGAAAATGCTGCGGAAAGCAAACACCATCTGCAACACCCGATACTCAGTCTGCACTTCTACCAGAATCAGTATCTTGTAGCTGTGTACGAAAACAGTCCGCTAATTCGGATTTACAATTTGAAGTCGTACTGTTTGCAGTGCGAGTACAACGTGGTTGAAGAGTTTATCGCTGCTTCACTAGCAGCCGACTTCACCCCGTCGCTAGTGATCACCGCAGCGATGCTCAGTTTGAGCGAACTTTCTGTAGGCTTATACGATAAAGCGAATTGCCAATCTTGCATTGTCACAGTCAACCTCGAGAATCTCAAAATCATTCGAAAGTTCTCTTTCACCGTTGGAAGGATTAATAAGATCGCTTGCGACAGTCTGAGCAGACTGCTCTACTTCAGCAGCGACTGCGGGTCGCCGAGCGCGTCGCAAACCTGTTCACAACTCAAGGCTTACGATATTCTTTCGCTGAATCTCGTTGCGAATTATCGCTTCGACGCAGAACTCACCGACTTCACGTTTACGAGCGACAGACTCCAGATCATCACGGCGTTCAGCTTTGAAACATCTGCAACAACCGTTGAGCTTGTCAAGTATTTTGGCAACGCCACCATCATTTCTTGGCGTATTCAGCCAAACTACAATCCGGAGTTCCGCTACGTCGCGCAGTCGGACGCCAAGCCGACTGAGATAAAAATTCTCAAATTAGTTACTTCCCAGCAGTCTCTTTCCCCACGACAGGCCGAAAGTCTTGGTGAGACGGACTTTGAGTCTGAAGCGGAATGCTTCGGAGAAGCGGAGATGCAACTCGTGAAATGGGACCGAAAAAGTTTGATGCGACTGCTCAAGTGGAATGAAGAGATGCTCGACAAGGTAGAAGACGAGAAAGGTGACGGAGAACACGACTTTTTCATTGACGCGCAACCTTTGCTGGAGCCAATCGCTCAAAACAAGCTGGCCGACTCGCAGACTTCAACTCCTGCTTCTCAAAGCTCTCTACTCGCGCTGCTCTCCATAGCAAGCTACGACGAATTGTTCTCCGCCATCGTCAACTCTTCGAATGCCAGTATCCACTTGTTCATTTCTGCACTAGTTTCAGAGATTCAGCAGTTGGCCTTTGCGAAGTTCATTGCCAGCGGTCTTAAAAGATTCGAGCAAATTGAGTTTCTCAAAACCCTAATCGTGTTGTTTATACACTACCACGGAAAATCTATTTTAGATAGCGTTTGCGGACAACAGCGTGCTTCAGCCGAGTTTGAGTCGAAAACGCACGAATCCGAGTTGTTTGAACACCTCGGCCGCTGTAGAGCCATTTTGCAAGAATCAATCGACGATTTAGACGAAAAGATGCTCAGCATTTCATCGCTCGTAAAACATATTTACGCTCTCGATCTATGAAAAACTACGTGATTTACCTGCAAATATATGCGCCGCGAACAGCCAGCTTAAATGTCGGATCTCGGCGTTTTCCATTCGAGCGTGCCTAACAGCGCGAGCTCCCGGCCTACGCGCAGCGCCTCGGCGATCAGCCTGCACAGAGGCGTGATACGCAAGTTCAGGCTTCGACCCGCTCAAACCTACGCCAAGGTTACCGACTTTGCTGAGCTGGTCACGACCGACTGCGACCCCTCCGAGTCTCTCACGTGTGCCTCTGAGAGCAGCAAGAATTGTGCCGAGGCGCTCGTTTTTTTCAACGAGTCGTCGCTAAGCGCAAACAGCCTCGATTTCGAGCGGGAGCTAGAGCTCGCATTGTGTGAAGACGATGACGATGTTTACATTCCCCAGGCGCTTGAACTTCTATTTGACAGAACAACCGCCGCACTTTCGACTGAAGATCGGAGAGCGCGCTTGAACGGCGTCCAACGACCGCGATTCTTTTTCACGCCCCGAAAGAGTCTTTTGGCGCTCATTGTACTTTACTATCTGAAGTTACTCGCAAAGTTAGTAACTGCGAGCGCCTTGTTCATTCTGAACGACGCGCTTATTGATGATGAATGCTACAAAAACATGGAGGCACTGTTCAAGTCTCGCGCAGATACGCGAAGAATCAGTGCGAACGCTCGAAGCGACGAGGAAAAGCTATCGAATGAGACGAAAGGCGCAAGCTGTCCGCTGCTGCTCGGCTGGAGTCTGTTTGCCGCCGCGTACGGCTGCGTCTATCTAAAGTTTTCCTCCGACTGGAACTCGCTAGCGGCTTTCTAGTTGCGCCTTCAGTTTACTGAGCTGCCGCTTCTCTTTGTGCGTCAGTTTCAGGCCTTTTCCAACCTTCTCTACCAGGCTTTTGTTTCTCGTTACGCGCGAGATGCGGTCCGCGAGCTTTTCAGTGGGACGGTGTTCCGTCGCAGTTTCAAGCCGTTGCCGCTTTTTTTGCTCGATGAACTTTTCGACGCTCTGGTCTTCGATAGCATTTGCGGGCTGAATTGTCATCCCGCTGTTTTTCTTCCACTGTTTGACTCTGTTTTCAAGCCTGATTTGTTTCGCAGGGTCGACTTTCGCGCTTTTCACCTTGCGGCCGCGAGCGTCAACCATTGCTTTCTCATACTTCCTCGCCGTGGAGTTCCATCGGTTAATCAGTTTCGGTTTCGTGGTGTCTGCGCCGATGTCGTTAATCGAATTGGCCAAAGCTGCGTACGCGTTCGACAGCTCGCTGCGAGACTGGTCAAAAGCTGCGGCGGTTTGCGGCGCCTCTAGGTAGAAATCTTTGCCGCTAGGCGATTGTTCGCGAGACCTCTTGCTAGTTTTCCGCGCGATAGACGGCTCCAGCAGAAATTTGTCAAACATTTGAGACCTCGCAGGCTTCTCTATCTCGCAGTTCGCCTTAATAACGATTTCCGAAGCAAGCTGGCTTTCGAGCTGCTTCTTTCGCGCGTTCGCGCTGAGCTCGCTCGAAATCGACTTGTCGAGCCCGTTGGACTTGCGCTTCTCCAGCGAGCACGGCTTGAAGCGCACGAGGTCAGTAGCTTGGATCCGGGACTCCGCGGCAGCGGGCACGTCAGCCGCTTCGCCGTTTGAAAAGTACGGGTGCGGCATCTTGTACACGTCTGCCAGCTTTAGCTCCAGCGGGAGCAGCTGACTCGCAAACCTTACGGAGAAATTGCTCGCGGGTTGTCGAAATTTGTTGTACAAAACCTGCGAGCCGGAGAGCGAGTGCAGCGCTTTCGCCACCACGGGATCACTGCTGTGCAGTTGCGCGATGCTTTCGCCGACAGTCGTCAGAATGTCGTTCGGAACGCCGCTAATTAACACTTCTTGCTCGCCGCATGGCGCGGCGTCGGGCACAGCAAAGGCGAACTTGAACCCGATGTGCGACGCGAAGTCACCGAGGTACAGCAAGTCTTCCTTCACCAGCAGCGAAATGCAGGTGCCCGACTTGTCGCACCGCGCAGTGCGCCCGCAGCGGTGGATATAGCTGCGCGGCGAGGCTGGCATGCAGTAGTTGATGACGTAGGCCAAGTTGTTGATGTCGATGCCTCTTGCGGCCACTTCGGTGCCGATGAGCACGTTGTTCTGGCGCGCGTGAAACTGCTTGACCGTTTCCACTCGCTCTTCGAGCTCCAACGTGCCTGTCAGCACGCGGTGCTTGATGCCGAAGTGCGCGCAGATGAGCGAAAGGTAGTGTGAGTGGTGCGAAGTCGAACAAAACACAATTACCTGCTCGTTTGCCGCCAGCACGCGGTTGATGAAGTAGACGCACGCAGCCGTCTTTTCCGAATCGCGCACCAGAAAGAACAAGTTCTTCAACAGTGGGTTCAGCACGTGCTCGCTGTCGAGCTCGACTAGCTGCGGCTCGTTCATAATGCTGTTCGCAAACATGCGCAACTCGGGCGGCACTGTCGCCGTAACGAGCAGTTTCTGCGCCTTGCGCGGAATCAGCTTCACCAGCTCTGCCATGTCCTGGGTGAACCCAGACTCAAACAAATTGTCGCCTTCGTCGAACACCGCAACCTCCAGGTTCTCCAGCGAGTAGCCAGTGACTTGCAGCTGGTGCCGCGTGCGCGCCGGCGTGCCGAGCAAGCAGTCGGGGTTTAGCGCCAAGTTCTGAAACTCTTTTTCCATCGACGCGCCGCCGACGAGGTAGCACATGCGCAGGTCCGTAGTCCCGCGACACAGCTTCTTGAAAACGTCAGCCGTTTGCAGCGCCAGCTCGCGCGTGACCGACAGCAGCAGCGCGCGCGCCCCCGTGACCACCGAATGTCGCTCCAACTTGTGCAGCACCGGCAGCAAAAACGCGAGCGTCTTCCCGCTACCCGTGCGCGAGGAGATGATGAAGTCCCGCGGCGTGCCCAGAATCTTCGGAATCGCCGCTCGCTGGATAGGCGTCGGCAAGTTTACGCCGTAGCGTCGCGCCGCGGCGCACGCGCCTTCCGAGAGACCGAGTTTTTGAAACGGCCCCTTCTTCTCCTTGCTCATGCTGCCCGCACAAACATCTACGCCGCGCTTATTTGCGATTAAATTAGCAAATATCCGATCTTTATTATGTTCCTGGGCTAGACCATGCACGTTCGATTGACGTTTGACGGCCTCGCGCTCTTGGCGCTGGCTGCGATGGTCCTGCTTTCCACTCTCGTTACCATCGACACCAGTCTGCAGGTTCCTGTCTACTGTTTCGTGCTCACGCACTTCGGCAGCAAGCTCTCGCTGCGCCAGCGGTTGCAAGACCAGGGCGTGGCGAACAAGTCAGTGCAGGTGATGACCACCAGCGAAGCTGCCATGAGCCCGATATTCTCTTCCGCCGTGCTCTTTAGTCTGTATTTGGCGCTCAAGAAGCTGCCGCGGCAATACCTGGAGTACTTTCTCTTCGTGGCGATCGGGCTGCTCTCGTGCTTCTCGCTCATGCTGAACTTCAAAGAGCTTGTGCGACTCTACTTCGGGCCCTCCGCTGTCCACACTCGCGAGTTCCGCTACGCGTTCTCGAACCGTCTGCTCAAGCGCTACGTCGGCCCGCTGCAGTTCGACTTCGGCTCAACCAACCTGCTCGGGCTTTGCGCGAGCCTCGCCGTCTTCGGCCTCTGGTACCACTTCAACTGGTGGCTCTTACACAACGTCATCGCAATGAGCATAGTCGTGCACGCGTTGCGCTTCACCAGCGCCGGCAAGTTCGGGACGTGCTCACTGCTGCTTGCTGGCGCCTTCCTGTACGACATCTTTTGGGTTTTTAAGACCAACGTCATGCTCGAAGTCGCGCAAAACTTCCGCGCTCCCGCGAAACTGCTCTTCAAGAACGGCGCGAAGCAGAACCTCCTCGGTCTAGGCGACATCGTACTGCCCGGTCTGCTCATCTCGATGGCCAAGCGCTTCGACCATTGGCAAGCTGCCGCAAACGGCCGCCACTCCAGTCAGCTGTACTACTTCCTAACGCTCGCTTCGCAGCTCGCCGGCCTCCACGCCGCCGGGCTCGCCGCACGACTCACCGGCAAAGGCCAGCCCGCGCTGCTATACATCGTACCCGCGCTGCTCGCGCCGCTGTACCTCGTCGCCATGCTGCGGGGCGAGCTCGTCGACCTGCTGCTCTACGACGAGAGCGCTGACAACGCCGTCCCGCGCGGCGAGCCGCGCCACGCCGCGCCTGCGGACTCGGCGCGTGAAGTCACTGCGCAGCAGAACGCAGTCTGCGCCGCAGACTGCGTCCAGGACCACGGTTCTATCAAAAAATAAATTCGCATCTCGCGCTAGTCTAGTGACACGAGCTTCAGAATACCTTCGGGCCCGCGTCGCACCTTGATGCGTGCCGCCGTGTCGCCGCGCGACGCGGAGCTCGCGCGCGCGCTGCTCCGCGACGGCAGTGGCAGCAACCCGAATAACGGCGTCTCCGACGGCGCGTTGCTCGCCAAACTGCCCTTCAGCCCCGAGCGCCAGACTGCCACGCTCGTGCGCACGTTTCCCGAGTGCTGATTCTCCTTGTCTGCCGCGCAGGCCTGCGCCGCGTAGGCAAACTCGCCTGCGCCCACAACGACCTTTAACGGCGTTTGGAACGCCGACGCCTCGAGCGGCAGGTCCGGCCGCCGCACTGAGCGCTTCGCGCTCATCTCGAGCGCAGACGCGGAGGCCGCCGATGGCACCGTCAGCACCTCGGAAAGCGTCGCCTTGATCGAACGCCGTAGCTCGCGCGGCGAGGGCGAGCGGTCGCGGCGCGTCTGCTCCGCGCGCGCGCAGCGCAGACGCTCGCCGCAACCTTCGACCGGAGTCGACACCGCCTCGAACGCCGGCGCCGCCGGCCTCGCCTCCGCTCTCGGCGCCTTGCCGAAGCCCGCTCGCTGCCGCAAAATGTTGCGGAAACCGATCGCGCTTTTCTTCGGAAGCAGTTCGCTCACGAGCTTCTGAATGTCCGGCGGCGGCGAATCCGGCGAGTGTCGCGCCTTCAGCGCGGTCGCGAGCTCGCGCTTCGAGCACTCTGCGCTGCGCGCCGCGCTGCGCAGCGCGCTCCGTTGCGCCTCCTGCGGCGTCTGCAGCCCCGCCGGACCGTATGCCGTCGTATATGAGTTCGACAACACTGTGTTCTTCGCACAGCTATTGCCGCCTTCCGCGCACGCGGACTTGCGCAACACCGACCGCAGCACCGTCAGCGGCGTACGCTCGTCTTTCCCGCTGAACGCGCTACGCGCGTCAGGCGAGTGCAACTTCGCGCGTGCCAGCACCTGTAAGCTCTTCGCAACGCGTTGCCGTTCACTCGAATTCAGAAACTCGAGCTTTTTCAACACCACCGGGTCTGCTGTCAGCTTGCCGGCGCCCGCGCTCTCCGAAAAACTCCGCGTCATCGCAAACAAGCTTTCGGAGCTTGCCGAGCTGGCGGCCTCGCCCGCCGCGAGTCCGAACGAGCCATGCCGCGCAACAGCCGCCTTGTCCTGC